AGCAAATCGAAGTTGGGTGTTGCCTTTTCGAAAACACGGCACACTACAAGTCGCTTCGACCTTTTCAGGCCTTGCATCCGGGGAACATCGGGATATTAGTTATGTCCTCTACTTTATAGCCACTGGGCCAAAAACAGCGCTTGGCACAAAGGTAGATAACTAATTGGTAGGTCTTTTAGTAGTACACGTTGTGTGATTGCATAGCGACAAGAATTTCGGTGTGGATTGTGATTCTCATCTAAGTGTAGCTTGGTTTTTTCTATCACTAGAACATTCCGAGGCTTGCCATATTCAACAGGTGAGTTCAATCGAGATCAGAACGCATCGTAGTGTGGCGTTTCCAGAAGGGATACAACCAATTCTCATGGCCACGGCCACGGTCCTAATGAATGAATTGGTCAAGGTTTCTGCAACGTGGGTCTACAATGCCATTGCGCGTCGCAATCCAGTCCCACAGCGGATAATTAAACAAATAGCCCCCAAAGATTTTTAGCACTTTTCTGTTTTCAGAGTTCCGTTACCTGCACTGGTAATTTGGAACCATCATAGTTAGAGTTTATAACTTTACTTTGCAAGTTTCCTAGCTAAAGTTGGTTTAAAAATTAGGATTTGTGTCTGTTATTCAGAGAAATATTCGATTTTGTTAAGCGGTATATATATGGGGCGCAGAATGTCGTACTTTGCCACTTATAGACTTCTTGCACCAAACTAAAGCCGTTGCTTCCGACAGCTCAAATCGGACACAGAAATATAGCACATGTCTGCTTAAAAGCAGCATGTGATTCCTGCGCATTTATGTGTAAACATAAAATTCGTTCTTCCTATCGACTACAGAAAACAATACCTGGCTTGACTTCGACTTGATTTGAGCAATACCCGACCCTATTTGCAGGGTGGATTATAACCTCACGCTCGCCACACTGTAGTTCATCTGTCTTCTGTCTTGTCTGTTCGATGAATTTATGTGATTTAGCAGCTTAGAGCAAATCAGCGATATATCGATTTCATCAGACATTTAACATTCCATTGCAATGGTTCGACTTTGATAAATTTACGAGAAGATTTCATTGCACTGTCCTGTTGTAGTAGGTGAGGTCAACGAGACTGGTAAATGTCTGCTTGCGAACAAAGTATGATTGGATTGGATTGCTTTCCACCTGCCTAATAGCCATTTTACGTTTATCGCCAAACCACTGACTCAACGCTGTGTACCAACAGAGCCATGGATCTAGACGAGGTATCTGAAGGAAATGGTGCAGAGAATTCACTGTCGCCTTCTGCTTATCAATGTACTTGATAGGGTTTATTCCTATGTTCTTTCTTCAATTGCACCGGTAGGCGGTACTTCTGACAATCAAGGTGGTTTTGCCGTACTATTGTGATTCGGTGTTGCCTTAACTCGATAAAGAGACTACCTGTGTTATCCTCTTCTGTTTGGCAAACAGATCATTACCACACACCAACTAACATTAAAGCTGAATTTCCTTTCATGGAAAGCGATTTTCGTTGACCATGACTTAAACACCATAACGAATGCTACATGCTCAACATTAAACTGTAGTTAACGGGTCTGATCTCGGTAAACAGAATTCGCATTTTCTCAAAGTACGCAAAACACGAGTCTGAGCAATCTAAATTTATTCCGTCATCTTTCCAATAAGGAATTTCCAGTAATTATTAAGGAATTTGCACTTAGCCTCACTGGCTGCAGGTGCCATCAGACACAGTAAACTTTATTAAGAGTACGCTAACTGCAGCATCAGTTATTACGAAATTGGCACTATAAGTCCTATTTCAAAGATCGGTGTAACACTGTCACTCACCAGTTATCGGCCGCTTCTGTTAGTCGTTCACACCACTTCAGTAACACAGCTAGACAGTTAACAAGTGCGATAGAATTACATACTTGGCAGAACCAAAACGCCTCCACCGTGTCAGTGTACCGTTTTTCCGCCTCATCCCAAGGCAGGTGGTGTGATAAGATTTCAAACCCATGGTACACACCAGACCATATTTTACCGCTTTAGCACATGATTCACATTTGCTCTTCTTCCATGACAGGTTCACAGTGGGCGCGCTGCTTTCAGATCGCGTTTGTCACTTCAGCTTCCCCGTCAAGGTAAGCGTGAGTCAGCGTGGCGCGCTGGCTTCTCCATTGTTCCCTTGTACGCACACGTTGAGGTGTTGCTCGGTTGATCGATCGATGTTAGGTCAACTTGGTTTGGGACCCAGTAAATGCAACTAAAAACCGGTGCAAACAGAGCGCGAGATCACAAATTCCTTCACGGATGCGTTGAGAAACGCCTGATTGGAGTAAGCTTAGGCTTTTCGGACTGCCTGGAGGATTCTACACGGTATTGAAGTACGTAGAACGGTAATGGGAGCCAAGTGAATGGGTTATCCGCTTGTGTTCAATCGTGGATGACAAGCAAATCAGTTAGTGCGGCTTACAACTTTAGTGGTGTGAGATAACTCCACGTATGGTAGATACTGTGTAGCGCTGGTAAATCCGGTTCGAATGAGAGTGCGGTGACTACGCTGCCATAAGATAGAGGGAAGTTAGAGAGGAGTATTGCAAATGAACCGAGAGCACGCACGTCAAGCTTGTATTTCAATGTGCATTATGCACTAGTATGTATCCGGACAAGGCACTCAATTGGTCCAATGCTTCTAGCTGTAAGTAGAAAATATTCGCATTTGGGTTTCGAGACGCGCGCTTGCATCCACAGCAAGATCCTCGGTCTACCTAGTCCACTGGCTTTGTTACCCAACGATGAAAATCACGTTACTTAGCTTAGTTTGATTGTGCTTCGAAAATGTATCAACCCTATCAAACTGGCATTCTTTGCCATCGACTTACTGCATGTGTCTGTTCTAGAAACCGCAGTTATGGGGATTTCTCTCATAGATGCTGGATGCAACATTATGGCCATCTATTCCTTCTACAATCCAATCTGCTATGGCGAACACCAGCCATTTGAGACCACTTTTGTCGATCCCTTGAGTGTTTGCCTACCGACAAGTTTAACTGTAATATCTGCTTCGGGAAAATCATTGACAAAATGGATCGAAAGGCATAACTTGCAGTAAAGCTGAGTTCATTGAGTACAACGCTATCCACGTGGTTTCAATGTGTCTACCTCTGTCCAAACATTTTCGCCAGCTATATTGGTACCGCTGCGGAACTCGTGTTAGTTGTAATTAGTTTGCATACGTTGCCCTGTCTTTTCCAATTAGCACTCGGTGATTTGTAACCAACA